TTTTTTGGTGGGGAGGGAAGTGGACTCGGAGGGCTTTCTGGATCGGGCTGTGTTTTTAAGAGTTGGGACAGAGAAAAGCCGAAGACGGGAAAACTTGATGGGATTGTGGGGAGTCCTGGCGGCCCTGGCCAGGGAGTGGGGGGCTGGTGGGGGCCGCGGGACTGGGCAGGGCAGGGCAGGGCAGAGCAGCAGGGGCAAGGTGGGCGCTCCGCCGTGCGCCAGCTTGGGTCGCGGGGCCCGAGACACCACAGAGGGTCACACGTTGCTCCTGTGGGACCATCCCAAGGAGCCAAGGTGCGCAGCAGTGCCGAGAGACAATTTTTGGAGAAGAGGGACGGACCAGAGGGAGGACTTTGTTCTTCCGACTGCATTGATCGTAGCAAAGGGGAGAGTGGGAAGGGTCAGCCCAGGCTGGCCCTTCCTCGGCTGGGCTTCAGTGCAATTCCCTTCGTCCCTTTGGAAACGCGATAGTTGCCTTGGGTTTTGTTCCATTCCTTTTGGTTCACGCTTTCTAGAGCAAGCATCGCAACTCCAGAAAACTTACTTGTAAACTCTTTGTACTTTTCTTAATTGTCTTGATCAATTTAGTACCTTATTATTTCCTCATCTTCTTTTTCTGTGAAATGTAATAACCATCAATTTTTATCTTTTTTTCATCGTAATCCTCTACTTTCTTGTGCTTTCTTGTCCCATTTTCCTAATTGTCCCCCTCTCTCCTTAGATCTACCCATTTCAGAATTTCTGAAGTCTACATCTTACTTTTTACTTTTTACTTTTTACTTTTTACTGTTATTCATTCTCTTCCTCCTTAATCTCTTCCCACCTACTCTTCTGCATTTATGCTTGCCTTTCTCATGAAAAACTCCTTTTGCCGGGATCTTTCCTTTCCTCCATGAGTAGAAACTTTTGTTTCTCCTGATGTGGAGCAAACATAAAGCTTCTTCTTGTTCTCTCCTAAACTTATTCTTCTGTGGGCTGCCCTACATACATGTTACCCAGTTATGCAGACAGAGCTAGCAGTAATTCGTGTTCACAAATGTTCACTTTCACCTTTCTTCTCATCTTTGTCTCTATGTACATGCATCTTCCAGTCTCTAAAAGCTTCTTCTAGTTCCTCTCCATTGTCCTTAGTGTGGAAGTTTCTTCTTTTCCCTTTCCCCCACTCCATCTTGGCAGACCCAATGTTGTTCTTCATGTCCTTGTTCCATCCTGTGCAGAGTACTCAGACTTTTCTCTCCATTCCTTATAGTTCCCTTCCCAACCTAAGTAAAATTTGCTTTTTGCACCCCTGAAGGTATTGCAGAGACAGACTACCGGAGAAGATTGATGTGAATTTGGCTACTTTGGCTTCTTCTGGGGCCAAATGCCATCAGTGGCACTCGTAGTTTAGGTCCCAACTGAAGTAGCACATCTGCTGTTGGAGGTGCTGTGGGGAGACACTCAACAGGGCTAAGGAGCCAGAGAAGATCACATATGTTTCCCTCAAAAGGGTTGATGAGTTTTATTTTTTCTACTTGGGTTTTTTTTAAATTGACTTACTCTCTTCATTAGTTTTTAAATACCTGCCAGGGCAGTTGGAGAGCCTTTTTATTATCTTTTTTCCCTGTCACTTCAGTGCTTTCTGGAAGGTAAGACTCTGCAATCTGTAGATATATGAAAGGCTTTTTCTTAAACCTTCTTCTATTACACTTCAGCCCCACAATGTTTTTAAAGCAACATGTCATCCCCAGGCTTTGAGTTTAGGATGTGTCTAAGTCTGTGAAGAAATTTGTGTTTGAAATTACTCAGAAGAACGTAACTTTATATTTGTATGTTAGTCCCCGAGTGGTGTGGCAGAGTTACTGTGCTGAACTAACAATTCTTCTTCAAATTTGAACAGGTCACAACATGATTGTTGGGAAAATGGGATGGCTGCCAGAACATCAGTCTGTGATGGGTGCCATATTGCATTACTCTTCGAATGGTGGAATAGAGCTTGGGATTCCTCTGGGCTGCTTGACATGATTCAAATTGGATCATACAGATGCCGAACATCTTAGTTGTTTGGATTCATAGTAATGGTTAATGGTCTCCCAGGGGAAGTGGAAAAGCCCCATGCTGAAACTTGTGGATATTGTCGAACATGCTGCTGAGACCTATTTGGATTATATTGCCATGTGACACCAAGGTTCTGCAGCTGATGAGAGGTATGCTTCTCCCCAAAAATACTATCTCAAACATCAGAATACTAAATACAAATACTTGTCTTTGTTTTAAACGAACTTGCTTTGTAGCCTTTTTTTTAATTTTATTTTGTCTTGCTACTGATACCTGCCAAAAGTTTTGAGTGGCGTTAATCTGACAGAAATGTTGTACTAACAGTTTGATAATGTTTATATCTTAAATGGAAAAGGAAAACCCAAATATGAAAGTTTTTTTTTCGATAATTTACTTATATTTTGAAGGTAATTACTTCATAGACACTATGACTGCTTAGCAGCTCTAGAAAATGAGACTAACTTTCAAGAAAAATAAGATGAAAACAATTTAAGCAAAGCACTTTCTGCATTTCTGATTTTCCAAATAGCCCAGTTTATTTGAAGATGTTACTATTTTCTGTTTTGAACTCAAGATAGCAATCTTCTATGATTTAACCTCTTTTCCTCCAAATGACAACAAAAATCTCAAGGATGGCCTGGGTGGGGGAGAAAGAGCAAACAAAAGTATTTCAGTTAAAAATTCAAGGAATTATTTTGTTTCATATATTTTTAAAGTTTTGATGTAAGGCTTCTTGCAGATTGTGCTTGCATCCTGAATGTCCTAGTAATATAAAAGTCTACTGGATGCAGATCAGCATTCAGTTTTCCTACTAGATGAGGTAATCAATGTAAAAAATGAACTGGAAACTAGCAGAGAAAACAAGTGGTAAAAGAGTTATTAATGAACAACAAATTATTTTTGAATCTAGATGAAGTGTTGCTCCAATAGTGAGGAAAGCAGTGAGCTCCTTAGTGAACTGTGCTAATGGCAAAGCAAATTTTAAAAGTATTTAAAAACTGATCCTTTCATACCTGTTGTGTGCACTTCTTCATTATAGCTGAAAATGAATGATGTGAAAATAGTTGGTTTTGCTACATGTTTCAGCTCAACTGATTGGTTTCAGCCTAAACCATATGTAGGGCAGACAAGTATTCATAATCTTAAGAAAAGTGCTGAGCTGGCTGGCCTACTTTAGAGCAAAACAGAAATCTGAACGAATAATCACTTGTGATCCTTTCCTGTAGTAAACAGAGATACAAGAAGCAATACAGTTCTAATTTCCTGGTTCTGACTGTGTTTTAATAAAAACCTACTCTTAATTTTCTTGATTATTGTGGGTAAGCTTTTTGTTGTGTACTGAATGCAATTAATGTACATTTAGATTTACGGTCTTAATACTGTTCTGCATTCATACTATTTTTGAACTTTGCCTGACTAAAGCTAGCCATATGAAAGTCTTTAATTTGAAGTCTCAGAAATGGAAAGTCTTGGGCTGTTTGTGGAAAGAAAAGACAGTGAATAATAAATAGATAGTGGATGAAAATATTTAGAGCTGCTATCTAGTGTCATCTTGGAAAAGAAGCACAATTATTATATTTCTCTATTTGAAGAACATCAAAACTGCAATCCATTTTTTTTCTGTGAGTTTCTTCTCAGGCACTTGCCACTCTTTAAGAAAACTCAAATGGACATAGAGGTACACTTCATTTATCTGCATGAAAGTTATTAATTTCATCAGCACTGAAAAGTGAGGGAAATTTTTACTTATAATTAACAAGATATAGAAACTACTCCTTGGCTTAATCTGAGAGTTTGTGTAGATTGAATTTCATCATTGCCGTAAGATTCTGGATATAGTAGGCAAATTATTAGATATATTTCCAGTTGTTTGCACTTTGAACATTTCAAGCATTAATAACTAGGTGACAAACTCTTAAAATTTACAATTTCTTTGGATGATTTCCAATAAAATGCAAAGAATCATTCTCCTATTTGGAGATGAGATCTGCAGAGAGAGGAAAAGCAGGGTCAGATAGATAGTGTTAGTCAGCATGGTAGCACCCAGCTGGCAGGTGTGCTGCCCTGGTAGGAGATGAGATCCTTCTGGGGCTTGCAGGGAGATGGGGGCCCTGGATGGAGTGTTCCTGTACTTTTCTGCTGGGAGCAGTCCTGGCAAAGGCACCAGATGCAGCAGGGTTGGGTGGATGCTGAGATCTGTGGGGAAGGAGCAGGATCCTGGGAGGGGTGATGGTGACCACGTTTCCTTGGGGTGGAAAGGAGCCTCGATGCTCTCAGAGGGGTCTGGTTGGGAGGAGCTACTGCTTGAGAGAAGGTTTTTGGGTATGGGAGCCTGAAATGTGGGAAAGAGGTTGTTTCTGTGATTTGTCTTTGGTTGCAATTTGGCAGTTTCTTGCTTTGCTTGCTTGCTTGCTTTGCTCCTGGAAGGTGATTGAAATCCTTGCAGGTGTTTTGAGGCAGTGTGGATGTTTTTTTTGGGTGGGGGGCGGGGGGGGGGAGAGAGTTCTGAATTCCCCCTCACAAGCCTACCCTGGAATTTTAATCTGGTAGCACAATTTGCACCTAAAACAAATGAAACAAAATCCACACAGTTTAAGCAGTGATTCCTCTTTTGAATTGTGCTCTCATTTAAGGAAGTCTTCCAGCCAATGTACTTGGTTGTTTGAGAAAATGTTTTGCTTTGTGTAAATGAGGTGAGAGTAAGCATGAGGGTCTTTCAGGCCAACCCTGCCTGAGTGTGGAAGAGATTTAACAAGGCTGCAAGGAGTGCAAATTTTACAGTGTAGTGTGTGTGGACAAGTGAGTTGCATTGTTGGAGTTGTGCATTGTGAGAAATGGGCAGAGGAGAACAGGGCAGGTTTTGTTGCTGGAAGAGGAGATGGCACATGGAGTAACTTCTATCTATTAACATCTAGGAAGGTAGAAAGGAAAACGTGATAATGACTTAATTTCTTGGACTATTCCTTCCCTTTGGTTGAAGCATTTTTCTTGATGCATGAATTCCCAAGTGAGGTAGAAATTTATGTAGAACAATATGTGCCCTGCTTGGGGGGTTCCTGATACAAAATGGGGATAGGGATGCTTTCCTGAGGACTTGCTGCCTCTCATCCCTCCTGTGAGAGGCCCTGCTTCTGGTAATGAAGGACAAAGAAGCCTTCTTCTTGGACACTTCATCAGAGTGTCCTCCTCAGGATTTGGAGGCACAGTTTGATTCTTGGGTAAAATTTTTGGAGGAAGCTTTTGGACATAGGATTGTTAGTCCCTGAAAGGGCTCCCAGGCAGTCCAGAGGGTATTGGCAACTATGAGGAGGCATGGTAAATAGTCACTTCACAATCTTCACTGAGAAAGCAAGATGGAAGCTGTAGGTCAGAGCACTTTACTTAATTGAGTTGTCTTTGTATCTTTGGTTCCATAGAAAATACTGTTGATAATTGTGTCTGTTTTTTTTTCATCTGTATTTTGCTCAAGGCTGCATGAATGTCCTGTGTGAAATCATATAGCTTACTATAGTAGAAGTCATAATTGCAAATATGATGTTTTCTTTTTTTTTTATTATTTTTCTCCTTTCACTGGCTTGTCATCTTATTATGCAACTTGAGGTACAGTATTCTTACAGAAGCAATATTACCATTGGAGTATTGTTGGTTTTATTTCTTGTCAGAGCAAATTTTTATGAGAGGTACAAAAATGTCAACCAAGGCTGGAAAGAGAGAGCTTCCACTTGAAATCTGGGTGTGGATTTACATAAACCACAATCCCCCCCACACCTTGTATTGCAATTATGATTGAGAAACAATTGCATGAAGACTTGAAATGAAAACAAAGCTTCCAACATGCGACTTGCTTTTTCTGTAAAGTGCTTTCAGTAATGTCAGGACAGAGGCATATGGTGTCTGGAATAGTTTTCAGTTTCTTGATTGGATTTATTTTTTGTAGCAAGAAGCTTTCCAAGTCACTAATAGATTCTATTTTTTTTTTTTTTTTTTTTTTTTTTTTTTTTTTTTTTTTTTTTTTTTTTTTTTTTTTTTTTGCTTGCATTGTTATAACATGAAATTTATCACAAACTATTTGTGAATCTTGAGGTAGGGTCATATTGTGCTTGGTATCTTGACCTCTCCTTGATTGAAATGCATAGATGTGTTTGGGTTTGGAAGTGGGAAATTGGTAAGCTAGGGGAACTTAAAATATTTTAACACAAAATTAGTTCTGGCCTTCGAGGACAGGGACAGTATTTCCCCCAAAATGTTATGAGACTCCTACAAGTGTGGATTTTATATTTAAATCCATGAATATTGTAGATTAGTGAGAAGAAATTGGATTTTACTCTGTACAAAGAAGAAAGAAAAGAAAAAGCTCCTACCTCATCCAGATGTGTCTACTGCTTCTAAAAATTGGAAAGGGATTTCATTTAATTATATTTGTAAACTAAAGATACAGAAGATACAGTTCTATTTAAGAATGATATTGCAACTCTATTGAAATAAACTGTATTTTGATACATCTGAAAGGTTCTAGATGTTTCAGTATAAATGTTTCTGTCACTTTTCTCTGTTTTTTTTTTTTTTGTTGTTGTCATAATTTTTTTTTTTTTTTTTTTTTTTTTTTTTTTTTTTTATTTTTTTTTTTTTTTTTTTGTAAATTTAGTTGTGAAACTTTAAGTCCCACATGGGGCAATGAGTGTGGTGTTGCTTTGGATGCCAGCATTACTTCCATGTCAGAGATAAGAGAGTGCTGAAGTAGAATCATGAATGTTTTCATGGAATTTCTTGCAGGCCTGGGAGGCAGTTGGGTATGGAAAGAAGAGGTATGTAATTGCCATGAAATTAATAAATGAGCATTGGGAGTGGGTATTCTGGGCTGATAAGGAGGGAATCTGATTTGGTTCTGAGCCAGTGATGATTGGTGAGGAAAGGAAGTGGAGAGACATTTTGAAAACAAGGGCTAGGTGCTAGTGATGGATGGGATTGAGGAAAGAGATATTGATTTTGTGGAAAAGGTGATAAGCTGTATGTCATAATTTATGTGTTAGGATTTCTGTGCCATCAGAGCATTTCTAATAGAAAAATGGAGTAAAATCTTTAAATGGCTGTGGCATAAGTAATAAATATCTCAGACATTGGTTGGGTTGGCTTCTTTTTGGTGTATGAT